CCCACTCACCCACCCACCCACTCACCACCCCACCCTCACCCACCACTCACCCACTCAGCCACTCACCCACTCACCCACTTACCCACCCACCCACTCACCCACACCCACCCACCCACTCATCCACCCACTCACCCACTCACCCACCCACCTACTCACCCACCCACTCACCCACTCACTGACACACTCACCCACTCACCCACTCACCCACCCACTCACTCACCCACTCACCCACCACTCACCCACTTACCCACACCCACACCCACCCACTCACACTCATGACACACTCACCCACCCACTCACTCTCTCACCACCCACCCACTCACCCACCACCACCCACCCACTCACCCACCCACTCACCCACCCACCCACTCACCACACCCCACTCACCCACCACTCACCCACTCACCCACCCACCCCGCACCCACTCACCCACCACTCACCCACTCAGCCACTCACCCACTCACTGACACACTCACCCACCCACTCACCTACCCACCCACTCAACCCACCCACTCACCCACTCACCCACTCACTGACACACTCACCACCCACTCACCCACTCCCCACCCACACACTCACCCACCCACTCACCCACCCACTCACCACCCACCCCACCCACTCACCCACCCACTCACCCACTTACCTACCCCACCACTCACCCACTCACTGACACACTCACCCACCCACTCACCCACTCACCCACCCACACACTCCACTCAACCACTCCACCCACTTACCCACTCACTCAACCACTCACTCAACCACTCACTCAACCACTCACACACCCACTCACTCACTCACCCACTCACTTAACCCATTCACACACACTCACTCACTCACTCACCCACTCACCCACCCACTCACCCCCCACTCACCCACTCATCCACTCACCCACTCACTGACACACTCACCCACCCACTCACCCACTTACCTACCCACCTACTCACCCACCCACTCACCACTCACTGACCCACTCACCCAGCCACTCACTCAACCACTCACCCACTCACTCAACCACTCACTCAACCACTCACCCACTCACTCACCCACTCACTCAACCACTCACACACCCACTCACTCACCCACTCACTCCCTCACTCACCCACTCACTTAACCCATTCACACACCCACTCACTCACCCACCCACTCACCCACTCACCCACCCACTCACCCACCCACTCACCCACTCACCCACTCATCCACTCACCCACTCACTGACACACTCACCCACCCACTCACCCACTTACCTACCCACCCACTCACCCACCCACTCACCCACCCACTCACCCACTCACCCACTCACTGACACACTCACCCACCCATTCACCCACTCACCCACCCACTCACTCAACCACTCACCCACTCACTCAACCACTCACTCAACCACTCACCCACTCACTCACCCACTCACTCAACCACTCACACACCCACTCACTCACTCACTCACCCACTCACTTAACCCACTCACCCACCCACTCACCTACCCACCCGCTCACCCACCCACTCACCCACTCACTGACACACTCACCCACCCACTCACCCACCCACCCACTCACTCAACCACTCACCCACTTACCCACTCACTCAACCACTCACTCAACCACTCACCCACTCACTCACCCACTCACTCAACCACTCACACACCCACTCACTCACCCACTCACCCACTCACTCACTCACCCACTCACTTAACCCATTCACACACCCACTCACCCACTCATCCACTCACCCACTCACTGACACACTCACCCACCCACTCACCCACTTACCTACCCACCCACTCACCCACCCACTCACCCACTCACTGACACACTCACCCACCCATTCACCCACTCACCCACCCACTCACTCAACCACTCACCCACTCACTCAACCACTCACTCAACCACTCACCCACTCACTCACCCACTCACTCAACCACTCACACACCCACTCACTCACTCACCCACTCACTTAACCCATTCACACACCCACTCACTCACTCACCCACTCACCCACCCACTCACCCACCCACTCACCCACTCATCCACTCACCCACTCACTGACACACTCACCCACCCACTCACCTACCCACCCGCTCACCCACCCACTCACCCACTCACTGACACACTCACCCACCCACTCACCCACCCACCCACTCACTCAACCACTCACCCACTTACCCACTCACTCAACCACTCACTCAACCACTCACCCACTCACTCACCCACTCACTCAACCACTCACACACCCATTCACTCACCCACTCACCCACTCACTCACTCACCCACTCACTTAACCCATTCACACACCCACTCACCCACTCATCCACTCACCCACTCACTGACACACTCACCCACCCACTCACCCACTTACCTACCCACCCACTCACCCACCCACTCACCCACCCACTCACCCACTCACTGACACACTGACACACTCACCCACCCATTCACCCACTCACCCACCCACCCACTCACTCAACCACTCACCCACTCACTCAACCACTCACTCAACCACTCACCCACTCACTCACCCACTCACTCAACCACTCACACACCTACTCACTCACTCACTCACCCACTCACTGAACCCATTCACACACCCACTCACTCACTCACCCACTCACCCACCCACTCACCCACCCACTCACCCACTCATCCACTCACCCACTCACCCACTCACTGACACACTCACCCACCCACTCACCTACCCACCCGCTCACCCACCCACTCACCCACTCACTGAGACACTCACCCACCCACTCACCCACCCACCCACTCACTCAACCACTCACCCACTTACCCACTCACTCAACCACTCACTCACCCACTCACTCACCCACTCACTCAACCACTCACACACCCACTCACTCACTCACCCACTCACTTAACCCATTCACACACCCACTCACTCACTCACCCACTCACTCACCCACTCAGCCACCCACCTACTCACTCACTCACCCACTCACTCACTCACCTACTCACCCACTCACCCACTCACTCACTCACACCACCCACTCACCCACCCACTCACCCACTCACCCACTCATCCACTCACCCACTCACTGACACACTCACCCACCCACTCACCCACTTACCTACCCACCCACTCACCCACCCACTCACCCACCCACTCACCCACTCACCCACTCACTGACACACTCACCCACCCATTCACCCACTCACCCAGCCACTCACTCAACCACTCACCCACTCACTCAACCACTCACTCAACCACTCACCCACTCACTCACCCACTCACTCAACCACTCACACACCCACTCACTCACTCACTCACTCACCCACTCACTTAACCCATTCACACACCCACTCACTCACTCACCCACTCACCCACCCACTCACCCACCCACTCACCCACTCATCCACTCACCCACTCACTGACACACTCACCCACCCACTCACCTACCCACCCGCTCACCCACCCACTCACCCACTCACTGACACACTCACCCACCCACTCACCCACCCACCCACTCACTCAACCACTCACCCACTTACCCACTCACTCAACCACTCACTCAACCACTCACCCACTCACTCACCCACTCACTCAACCACTCACACACCTACTCACTCACTCACTCACCCACTCACTTAACCCATTCACACACCCACTCACTCACTCACCCACTCACCCACCCACTCACCCACCCACTCACCCACTCATCCACTCACCCACTCACCCACTCACTGACACACTCACCCACCCACTCACCTACCCACCCGCTCACCCACCCACTCACCCACTCACTGAGACACTCACCCACCCACTCACCCACCCACTCACCCACTCACCCACTCACTGACACACTCACCCACCCATTCACCCACTCACCCACCCACCCACTCACTCAACCACTCACCCACTCACTCAACCACTCACTCAACCACTCACTCACCCACTCACTCAACCACTCACACACCTACTCACTCACTCACTCACCCACTCACTTAACCCATTCACACACCCACTCACTCACTCACCCACTCACCCACCCACTCACCCACCCACTCACCCACTCATCCACTCACCCACTCACCCACTCACTGACACACTCACCCACCCACTCACCTACCCACCCGCTCACCCACCCACTCACCCACTCACTGAGACACTCACCCACCCACTCACCCACCCACCCACTCACTCAACCACTCACCCACTTACCCACTCACTCAACCACTCACTCAACCACTCACCCACTCACTCACCCACTCACTCAACCACTCACACACCCACTCACTCACCCACTCACTCACTCACTCACCCACTCACTTAACCCATTCACACACCCACTCACTCACTCACCCACTCACTCACCCACTCAGCCACCCACCTACTCACTCACTCACCCACTCACTCACTCACCTACTCACCCACTCACCCACTCACTCACTCACCCACCCACTCACTCACTCACTCACCCACCCACTCAGCCACTCACACACTCACTCACTCACCCACTCACTCACTCACTCACCCACTCACTTAACCCATTCACACACTCACTCACTCACCCACTCACTCACTCACCCACCCACTCACACACTCACTCACTCATCCACTAACTCACTCACTCACCTACCCAATCACCCACCACTCACTCAACCACTCACTCACGCACTCACCGACCCACTCACTCACGCACCAACTCACTCAACCACTCACACATCCACTCACTCACCCACCCACTCAACCACTCACCCACTCACTCAATCAACCACTCACCCACCCAATCAACCACTCACCCACTCACTCCCCCACTCACTCACACACACACCCACTCACCCACGGTGCTGTGTGGTGGAGGGACGGAGACACAGGACAGTGGAGACCACTCCCCTGTCTTCCACCGGGGGTAGTCAGCCACGATTCTCACGCGGACGCAGTATTCAACCTCGCTTCCAGACGGGGGCACGGCGTGGTGGTAGCGACATCCCACAAAGTGATCCTGGCAGCATTAGTAGTAGTAACATCATTATAGTAGTAGCAGCATTAGTAGTAGTAGCAGCATCACCCACCCACCCACCCACTCACCCACCCACCCACCCACTCACCCAACCACCCACCCACTCACTCACCCACCCACTCACCCACCCACCCACTCACCCACTCACCCACCCACTCACCCACCCACTCACCCACCCACCCACCCACTCACCCACCCACCCACCCACCCACTCACTCACCCACCCACCCACCCACTCACTCACCCACCCACCCACCCACTCACCCACCCACCCACCCACTCACCCACCCACCCACCCACCAACCCACTCACCCACTCACTCACCCACCCACCCACCAACTCACTCACCCACCCACCCACCCACCCACTCACCCACCCACTCACCCACCCACCCACCCTCATCGTGCTGGTAGTGCCACCCCCCCTCGTGGAGATCTCTGCTTCCTGGTGGTGCACCACGTCGCGAAGCGCCATTCTCCTCCTCCATGCACTCCTCATGGAGATCCCCACGGAGAGCTCCCACCACTCCGCCTCCTCCTCCTCATCATCATCATCGCCGTCGTCATCATCGTCATCATCGTCGTCATCGTCGTGGTCATCGTCGTCATCGCTGTGGTGGTTGTTGACACGGTCCACATCATCATCATCGTCACCGTCATCATCGTCGTCGTCACCGTCATCATCGTCACCGTCATCATCAGCGACGTCACCGTCATCATCATCATCGTCATCGCTGTGGTGGTTGTTGACACGGTCCACACCATCAGCGACGTCACCGTCATCATCATCGTCGTCGTCGTCATCGTCGTCATCGTCGTAGTCATCTTTGTGGTCGTCATCGTCTTCGTAGCCCTCATCCTCATGACGGCACTCCTCCTCCTCATCATCGTCATCGTCACCGTCCTCCTCCTCCTCCGTCGATTTCTTGTGCAGCACCAAGGTGACAGTGGGAGCACTCAGCACGGCTGAGACACGGGGGGGGGGGGGGGGGTGGTGGACAGGGGTGAGTGAGACGTCATCTCACTCACCTGGTGAGGAGATGACGTCATCTCACTCACCTGGTGAGGAGATGATGTCATCTCACTCACCTGGTGAGGAGATGATGTCATCTCACTCACCTGGTGAGGAGATGACGTCATCTCACTCACCCCCCTAGCCTGAACAGACTGTTGGTGCAAGAGGAGCACACAGAGACACTCACACACAGAGACACACACACAGACACACACAGAGACACTCACACACAGAGAGAGACACACACACACAGAGACACACACAGAGACACACACACACACAGACACACACAGAGACACTCACACACACAGAGACACTCACACACACAGAGACACTCACACACACAGAGACACTCACACACACAGAGACACACACACAGAGACACTCACACACAGACACACACAGAGACACACAGAGACACAGACACACACACAGACACACACAGAGACACTCACACACACTCACACACACACAGAGACACTCACACACAGAGACACACACACACAGACACACACAGAGACACTCACACACAGAGACACTCACATACACAGAGACACTCACAGAGACACACACAGAGACACACACAGAGACACTCACAGAGACACACACAGAGACACTCACACACAGAGACACTCACAGAGACACACAGAGACACTCACAGAGACACTCACAGAGACACTCACACACAGACACACACACACACAGAGACACACAGAGACACACACACAGACACACACACAGACACACACAGAGACACTCACACACACTCACACACACACAGAGACACTCACACACAGAGACACACACACACAGACACACACAGAGACACTCACACACAGAGACACTCACACACACAGAGACACTCACAGAGACACACACAGAGACACTCACAGAGACACACACAGAGACACTCACACACAGAGACACTCACAGAGACACACAGAGACACTCACAGAGACACTCACATACACAGAGACACACACACCCAGAAACACTCACACACAGACACACACACACACAGAGACACACAGAGACACTCACACACACTCACACACACACACAGAGACACTCACACACAGAGACACACACACACACAGAGACACACACAGAGACACTCACACACAGAGACACAGACAATGCCACTCACTTGTCTTCAAGGGTAAGACCTCAACCACGACCCAGGGTGAGGATGATGGTGGTGATGGTGGTGGTGATGAGACGGTGGATCTGACGCGAAGTTGATAGCGGTCGCCGGGATGTCGCAGCGCTGAGGAGACATCGCACCGTGTCTCTGCGGTGGCAGCGCAGACGGTCCGCCAGCGGGCTCGTCCATAGCTGCACAGACAGAGACACGGGGAGGAGGAGGTGAGGAGTGGGTGTGTGAGTGGGTGGGTGAGTGGGTGGGTGAGTGGGTGGGTGAGTGGGTGGGTGAGTGGGTGGGTGAGTGGGTGGGCAAGCGGGTGAGTGGGTGAGTGAGTGAGTGAGAGAGAGAATGAGAGAGTGGGTGAGTGAGTGGGTGAGTGAGTGAGAGAGAGAGAGTGAGAGAGTGGGTGAGTGAGTGGGTGAGTGAGTGAGAGAGAGAGTGAGAGAGTGGGTGAGTGAGTGGGTGAGTGAGTGGGTAAGTGAGCAAGCGGGTGAGTGGGCGAGTGAGTGAGTGGGTGGGTAAGTGGGTGAGTGGGTGGGTGGGTGGGTGAGTGGGCAAGTGAGAGAGTGGGTGAGTGAGTGGGTGAGTAAGTGGGTGGGTGAGTCAGTGGGTGAGTGAGTGGGTTGGTGGGTGGGTGAGTGGGTGGGTGAGTGAGTGGTTGAGTGTGTGAGTGGGTGAGTGAGTGGGTGGGTGAGTGGGTGGGTGAGTGGATGGGTGGGTGAGTGGATGGGTGAGTGAGTGGATGGGTGAGTGAGTGGGTGAGTGAGAGAGTGGGTGGGTGAGAGAGTAGGTGGGTGAGTGGGTGGGTGGGTGAGTGGATGGGTGAGTGAGTGGATGGGTGAGTGAGTGGGTGAGTGAGAGAGTGGATGGGTGAGTGAGTGGGTGAGTGAGAGAGTGGGTGGGTGAGTGGGTGGGTGAGTGGGTGATGAGTGGGTGGGTGAGAGAGTGGGTGGGTGAGAGAGTGGGTGGGTGAGAGAGTGGGTGGGTGAGTAAGTGGGTGGGTGAGTGGGTGGGTGAGTGAGTGGGTGAGTGAGAGAGTGGGTGGGTGAGTAAGTGGGTGGGTGAGTGGGTGGGTGAGTGAGTGGGTGAGTGAGAGAGTGGGTGGGTGAGTAAGTGGGTGGGTGAGTGGGTGGGTGAGTGGGTGAGTGAGAGAGTGGTTGAGCAAGTGGATGGGTGAGTGAGCGAGTGAGTGAGTGGATGGGCGAGTAAGTGGGTGAGCGAGTGAGCAAGCATCTCACAGTTTGCTGTCCACCCTGTAGGCAACGTCCAGGAGCTGTGAGCTGCTGCTGGTGGCGACGTCCACTTGAGCGTCGTGGTCCCAGCGGAGTTGCGTCAGCAGGTCGCGAGACTCCACGCGCACATTCAGAGGGGGAGTCGCAGCTGCGGAGATGGGCAGTGTGCGCTAACCACTGCACCACCGCTCCCCACACACATACAGTGCGCTAACCACTGCACCACCACTCCCCACACACACAGCGCGCTAACCACTGCACCACCGCTCCCCACACACACACACAGTGCGCTAACCACTGCACCACCGCTCCCCCCACACACACACACAGTGCGCTAACCACTGCACCACCGCTCCCCCCCCACACACACACAGTGCGCTAACCACTGCACCACCGCTCCCCACACACACACACACAGTGCGCTAACCACTGCACCACCGCTCCCCCCCCCCACACACACACACACAGTGCGCTAACCACTGCACCACCGCTCCCCACACACACACAGTGCGCTAACCACTGCACCACCGCTCCCCACACACACACAGTGCGCTAACCACTGCACCACCGCTCCCCACGTCCACCACAACTTGGTACCCGATGTATCGACCACCTCTGGCTGTGCTCGCCGTGTGTGCACGTGACGAGGAGGAGGAGGAAGGGTTGTCCAAGTCTCGAGACGAGTTCCCGCACCGCCATGACACCCATCTGGGACCCACGTGTTTCAGTTTCTCAAGTCACGTGGTGCAGAGAAATTCGATTCCCGGTTCGATTAACTTTACTTGCGTCGATTCTTCATGGGATAACATTAGGAATCGATTCTTGCGGCGTAGTGGATTTATAGAGTCGATTTCTATTGGGATACCATGGGAATCGATGTATAGTTGATTAAGCTAATGGAATCGATTTCCGTTGGGATCACATGGAAATAGACTATCGCGTGTGTGTCCATGTGTGTGTGTCACTCAATGTGTGTGTGTGTGTACTTGTGTGTGTGTGTAAGTCGATGTCTGTGTGTGTACTTGTGTGTGTGTGTAAGTCGATGTCTGTGTGTGTGTACTTGTGTGTGTGTAAGTCGATGTCTGTGTGTGTGTACTTGTGTGTGTGTGTACTTGTGTGTGTGTAAGTCGATGTCTGTGTGTGTGTAAGTCGATGTCTGTGTGTGTGTACTTGTGTGTGTGTGTAAGTCGATGACTGTGTGTGTGTACTTGTGTGTGTGTAAGTCGATGTCTGCGTGTGTACTTGTGTGTGTGTGTAAGTCGATGTCTGTATGTGTGTACTTGTGTGTGTGTGTAAGTCGATGTCTTTGTGTACTTGTGTGTGTGTAAGTCGATGTCTGTGTGTGTGTACTTGTGTGTGTGTGTAAGTCGATGTCTGTGTGTGTACTTGTGTGTAAGTCGATGTCTGTGTGTGTGTCCATGTGTGTGTGTAAGTCGATGTCTGTGTGTGTGTACTTGTGTGTGTGTGTAAGTCGATGTCTGTGTGTACTTGTGTGTGTGTGTAAGTCGATGTCTGTGTGTGTGTCCATGTGTGTGTGTCACTCCATCTCGGTCAATCGACCCGTGGCACCTGCTGGGTCTGCCCCGTGACCTCCTCCTGCCAGCGGGCGTTCGACACTTCACGTGGCAGCCTCAAGGTGCACGTGGCCTGGCACAAGCGTCGTGGTGACGTCACCGCCACTTAGTGGCGAATGGCGGTTGTGTGTGTGTGTGTAGATCTGGGCAAAGTCCCATCAGTGAGATCCTCCGGCAGGCAAGGCTGCGTTGGCTGGGTCATGTAGCCCGCATGCCCAGCCACCGCATGCCTAAACAGCTTTTGTTCGGCCGGATCGAGGGGGCTAGACGGGCGCGGCACGGGCTGGAGAAGAGATGGAGTGATGTGGTACAGGAGGACGTGGAGCTGAGTGGACTTGCCGATGACTGGTACCAGCGGTGTCAAGATCGGCCTCAGTGGAGGAGGCTCGTGAAGGACGCTACTGGACAGTTGGAGGCAGTCGCCCTCCAACAACAACGGAGAGCGGAGGAGCGACGCTCACAACAACGAGCGGAGCGCCGGGTGGCTAAAGCACAGCAAGTTGGCACAGTAGGGGGCACAGGTGGTGCATCAGCCAGTCATCTCGGTCATCTCGGTCAGTCGACCCGTGGCACCTGGGTCTCCCCTGTGACCTCCTGCCAGCGGGCTTTCAACACTTCACGTGGCCTCAAGGTGCACTTGGCCTGGCACAAGCATCGTGGTGACGTCACCGCCACTTAGTGGCGATTGGCGGTTGTTGTGTTGTGTGTGCGTACAACAACGAGCGGAGTGCCGGGTGGCTAAAGCACAGCAAGTTGGCACAGTAGGGGGCACAGGTGGTGCATCAGCCAGTCGTCTCGGTCATCTCGAAGTGCGCGGTGCAGGGCTCTGTTTGGGACAAGTGTCTGTGGACACGCCTGGCTTGAAGCGATTGCATTGAGCCTTGACCCTCCAGCGAGGTCACTGAACGCCGGTTGCGAGTTCACACATCGCCGAGCCACGACGGTGCAGCTGCGGTGCGCATCGGGGCATTCCGGCAAAGCGACTGAACCCTCGACAGAGCGCGACGTGCAGAGCAGATTGTCAGCACCACCACCGATGATGTCGCTTCCTGCACTACGGGGCTGTGGCAGCCGTCAATGTAAATGACTCATCGCGGACAAATCACGGAGTGAAGTGCGCTTCTCATAAAGACGTCAATAACGCAGCTTAAAGTTTGCACAAATGTCTTTTATTACAAAGTAGTACGAGATTATCAAAAGTAAAAAAAAAACTCTCAAAACAAACCAAAAGCCGTGCATGCAAAACACAAACGTCTACGTGACGAAGCGAGTGGAAAGAAGTGAAGACGAGAGAGCGAGAGTGCGAAGCGGCTCGCGCCGCCGCTCCGTCCTAGCGGCTCGCTCCGCCGGTGCCGGCCCACGCGACGCCTCGACGGCGCCGTGCCACGCGCACCGCGCTCACCAGGACGGCCGTCTGCTCGGCGCTCGCCAGGCCGGCCGCCGCCAGCGCCGCGTTTTGGTCATGCGCCAGTCGCAGCAGCGCCGTCACCAGCCTGCAGGAGAGGGGCGGGGTCACGTCACCGTCGTCACGCACGGAGCGCTCCACACGCACGGCACTAACACATGCGCACCGACTCATACGTACACACAAGTGCACACACACGTAAACACACACAAACACAAGCGCACACCCGCACACACACACGCAAACACACACACACGCAAACACAAACCCGCACACACACACACGCAAACACACACACGCAAACACATACACGCAAACACACACACAAGCAAACACAAACCCACACACACACGCAAACACACACACACACGCAGACACACACCCGCGCACACACACACACACGCAGACACACACCCGCGCACACACACACAAACACACGCAAACACACACACACGCAAACACACACACACAAGCGCACACACACACACGCAAACACACACACACAAGCGCACACACCCGCACACGCACACACCCGCAAAGATCCCCCGTGTAGCCTTAACAGACCGTTGGGGCAAGTGCCGTTAGCGAGCGACACGCGAGGGGGTGGGTGGGTGGCCAGCACCACGCCCGACTGCCTCTGTCTCCCTCCCCGGCGCTCTGTGTGGTGAGTCTGTGGGTCTCTGTGTGGTGAGTCTGTGGGTCTCTGTGTGGTGAGTCTGTGGGTCTCTGTGTGGTGAGTCTGTGGGTCTCTGTGTGGTGAGTCTGTGGGTCTCTGTGTGGTGAGTCTGTGTGGTGAGTCTCACCTCTCCGTGTCCCGGCGCTGCGCCTCGTGCAGCACGGCAAACTGCTCGGCTTGCCGAACTCGCCGACGCAGCTCCGCCTCCTCCCGCTCGCCGTCGCCGGTGCCCGGCGCCACCACCGCCGGCTGTGGAGCGGGACCCGCCACGGCGCCGTCCGGGGGCGGCGCCCGGAGCCGGTCGTCTTCGGCGGCTTCCGTGGCGCGCTGCTGCCGCCGTAACTGCTCCACCGTCGCCAGCATCTCCGGCCTAGTCAAGGTGAGGCACCGGCGCCGGTGGAGACGACGGCGCTGAGGGGGGGGGGGGCGGGTTGGGGGGTTAGAACGGGGCGCCGTGTCGGTGGAAGCGTCGCGGTGGAAGCGTCGCGGTCGAAGCGTCGCGGTGGAAGCGTCGCGGTCGAAGCGTCGCGGTCGAAGCGTCGCGGTCGAAGCGTCGCGGTCGAAGCGTCGCGGTCGAAGCGTCGCGGTCGAAGCGTCGCGGTCGAAGCGTCGCGCTTCTGTGATTCTCTCCGAACCCGCCGACGCCGTCGCGATTTCTTTATACCCAAACACCCGAGAACGTCAATTCGTGCCGCGGCCACGAAACCTTCGGGTCGAGATCCCCCCCCCCCGCCCCCCCCCCCCCCCCCCGCCCCCCCCCCGCCCCCCCCCCCCCCCCCCGCGGTGCGTCTCTCTCACCCGAGCGGCGACGCCGTCCGGGTCGGCTGCCGTGGCCACCGCCGGCGCCACTCGGCGCGGCTCCTCCGCGTCGCGCCGGGGCTCCTCCTGCGGCTGCTGGCGCCGCGGTTGCGGCAAGACGACGCAGCGCGGCACCACGAGGCAGCGGCGCCGCAGTCGCCGCGGCGTGAGAAGGCCGAGGTGGTGGCCCTGGAGGTGGGGCCCCGGGTAGCGGCGGGCGCCGTCGCCCGTGTCCGTGGGCTGACGGCGAAGCCGAGGGGAGGGGGGGGGGGCACAACAACAACAACAAGAGGCTGTCACTCTCTAAACTAGCGCTGGGCGATTTGGGGGAAATACCTAATTGAGATTTTTCTGACAGATATTGCGATTTGATTTGATATAAAACAATTTGTTCAAGTCAAGCTTCAGTTCAATATTCACTGTGTAATAGATTTACAACGTGTGATGTGGCATTGCCACATGATACCGTCAACATAAGAACTGATACATATATTCTAATGGAAGGATGAGAACTTAAAAATATATGAATTGCTTCCAACATGTATTTATAAAAAAAAATTTAATAGAACAATCAAACATAGAACAATTGTGAAGTGAAATCAATAAAGTTATAATAAGTAAGAAAACAATTCCAATAAGTAATCGGCATTTTACAAATCGCAAAAAAAATCGATTTCCTAATTGCATTGCTTCAAATTGCGATTTCGATTTCAAATTTATTAATCGTTCAGTCCTACTCTATACCAGTGGTTCTTAACCTCAGAAGAGGGGCATCTTGCACAGCCCCAGGTTAAGAACCACTGCACTAAACGCTTTGTTCCCAAATATGTTATTAGGGGAAACCTCAAGGACCCGGAGAAAAATCCACGCAAGCACGGGGAGAGATGCGTCTCTCTCCTCACTCTACATGAGACACACGGGAGGAGGGGAGGGGGGTAAAGACGTGTCGCTCACCACCACACAGCCAGGCAGTGGTTCACTAGTCCCCACAATCAGCACTACCAGGCTGGGGTCTGCTTGGCTTGTGAGACACACGGGGGGAGGAGGAGAGGGGGTAGTGACGTGATGCTCACCTGATCGGCATCCACCTGGCTGGGCTGGTCTGCCATGATGTCTTCTGTGGTCTCCTGCAAACTCATCTTGGTGTTCTCTACACAGACAGCACATACAATGGGCGTGAGATACCCATATAGGTGGATGGTGTAGAGACACGCAGCAGACTGTATGAACATCTCCACTTGAGGAG